TGATGTTATACGGATCTTAGCTGAAAGCAGGGAATACCAGAGGAATGTCTATCTGTGTTTCATTGATTATGCAAAGGCATTTGACTCTGTGGATCATAACAAACTGTGGCTGACTCTGAGAAGAATGGGCATCCCAGAACATTTGATAGTTCTAATGCAAAACCTATACTTGGGCCAGGAGGCAGTTGTCAGAACAGAACACGGGAACACTGCATGGTTCAAAATTGGGAAGGGCATCCTATCTCCATACCTTTTCAACCTGTATGCAGAACAGATCATCTGGGAGGCTGGGCTCTATAAGGAGAAATGTTGGGTCAAGATTGGTCAACGATCTATCAACAATCTGCGTTATGCAAATGACCCAGCCCTGCTTGCTGAAACTGAGGAGGACCTGAAGCACCTGTTGCAGAGGGTCAAGGACTGTAGCCTCCGATATGGATTGAGGCTCAATGTAAAGAAGACAAAATTCTCACCACTGGGCCAATTGGAAGCATCAGGATGGATAGTGAAGAGATTGAGATTGTTCACAGCTTTAGTTTGCTTGGCTCCACAGTCAACACTCTTGGTATCAGTAACCAGAAAATTATAAGGCGCAGTTTGAGCTGTGGTGCTGGAGACGAATACTGAATACCCACGGACTGCCAAAAGAACAAATGTATCTTCTAGAAAGTACAGCCAGACTGCTCCTTGAAGGCAAAGGTGATAAAGCTTTGTCTCACGTACTTGGGTCCTGTTGTTAGAGGAGGCTGTTCCTTGGGAAGGGACATCATGCTTGGAAAGGTGGAGGGTCAGTGATAAAAAGGGCTTTAACCAGATGTATTGAGACTATGACTCCTACAATGGACTCAAATTTGTCAGAAAGGATGAAGGGACAGTAGAGGACAGGGCTCCAATCTGCTGTTTATAGATGCACTATGAGTTGGACTTGATTCAATGACACTTAACTCCACCCACCAGAACTGCAAGCTAAGTCTCTACAGTGTCTCTTCTGCCTAGACGGAAGACGGCTTTGCCGTTCGTTTTCTAGTGGATGTGGAGAAAACAGTCCTCCATCCTCCAGTGTCCTGGTGGTTGGCCAGTCGTGCTGCTTACAGGCTGCCATCCACGGCATCAGGTAACTGTAAACTTGGCATTTATCATGGTCTGTGTGTACTTCCCAGGCATGGGGTTTTGTTAGAGTAACTGTGTCCCCACTTCGGAGGAGCAAGTTCCTGAGTCTGCTAATCTCCACCTGAAGATGATTTTTTCCTTCTTTCTCACTAGGAGATATAGATGATGTTGTTGTGGATTGCCATCAAGTCAAGCACAACTCATAGCGACCCTATGAACACAAGGCCTGAAGCCTTTCTTTAACTACTGGCATTTATCAAAGTTCACAGAGTTTCCAGAGGTATGATGTTTAGGAAGTGGATGCCACTCCTGCTTCCAAAGACATAGAGCTAGAGAGTGAGAGATCGAGATGGATGTGCGTGTGCTTCTTTGGGTACCTCATAATTTTCTATTGAAAATGTGACATGTCATGTCATGCAATGTATGTGAAAGTTCTGGAAATCAGAATCATTTCCCCCCAAACATTTCCCACCCCGGTGTCTAGTTACCTAGTGCTACTCTGACACCAATATCACAGATGGGTAACTTTAAAGAACAAAAGTATTTTCTCACAGTTCAGGATGTTGTAAGTTCGAATTCACAGTAATGCTCTAAACGAGGTCCTTTTTTGTTGGTTGCCCTGGAAGTTTTATATGTTCCTTGGCATCTTTCCCCCTCAATGTCTGTATCTGTGTTACTGCCTGGTCATGTTATAACTGAGACGTGATTAGGAGAGGGCTCTCAACCCTTAGGTGTAAGCTAATCAGTGTAAAAAAGAAAACTCTTTCCGAACAGCCACACCTCCAAAAGTATAGGAGCAAGACCTTAAGACATACATTCCTGAGGGGTACATTTTGATCCCTAGCATTCCTTTGTTGTTGTTGTCATGTGCCACTGAGTTGATTTCAACTCCTAACAACCACTGAGGACAGAGCAGAACCACCTTCTAGACCGAAATCTTTAGGGGATCAGCGCACCTTACAGAGGAATCTTTTCTCCCATGGAAGGAATGTTTTAGTTAGTTCTAGAGTAATGAAACGTTGCATCACCAGGGCTCTATCAGGCATTCAAATTTCATTTGTGCAAAACACATTCAGCCTATCACAGTGTCCTCAGAAATATTAATCCCTTCCAGCACCAACAATTAGTCCAAAAGGTCATCACATAAATCAGCTGGGTGTGACTGAGGGTATGGTCCATCCTGGGGCAAAATTTACTGCCATCTGTGGACCTGTCCAACCTAGAATATAAGTTACCTGCTTCTCAAGTACAATGGCCATGTCAAACAGTTCATTCCAAAAGGGACGAAATATAAGGAAAGATGAGGTCCCAGGTACAAAGCAAGGCCACAGTCAAAGGGGGCAAATCTCGTCAGCTCTAAAGGGTTGGAAAGAATCTTCTGTATTTTAGATGTTATCTGGGCAATGACTTTTCCTTCCCTCCAGATTCCGGGCACTGGCAACAACCTTTCCCTCTGCCGTGGACATCAGCCCCGCCTTCCAGGCCCTCTAGGATGATAATCTGCATCCCAGGCTCTGAGTAAACTCAGTCTCCAAGTACCAGCATGGAAGCTACATTCAGCTTTAGGTAGGTTTGTTCAAATCCAAGAAGAAAGAATGACAATCACCTCTCATGTGACATATAACCTCAGAAACCCAGTGGAAGCAGCTATGTGTCTATCAATGACAATGTGAGAGAATTCAAACAGTAAATATCCCTTTGGCATTAGACATGGAGACCGAAATGTGCTCTGTAGGTGTCTTAGGTTCAATCAATGTGGAACAAATTCCAGATGGGAAAAGAATGGGATTACCAACCCTGGCATTCAAGTGTGAGTAGCCTGAGTAGTTCTGTCGAATCACCTGTAAGACTAGGCTTTGGTGGCAAAGGTTAGAGCTGACATCTGGTCTCTGGCTGCACACAGCACTTCAAAACCACCACAAATGATCTATCAATTGAAAGGCTTAGTACAATATTTTCATACAACAAGTAAAAATTCATTGTTTTACAGGAGTTCCACAAAGAAATTAGGTCACTTAGAGTTCTGAACATCTTTTGCTTGTTCTGTGTGTGTCATTGGGTCAGTTCTGACCCACGTGACAGAGTTAAACTGCACATCATGTGTTCTGGGTTGAAAAGGACTCTCGTGGCTTTTAGACAGAAGCAAATAATCCACCCAACCTGATATTCCATGTGAGCTCTTTGTCTGATAAAGGAAAGGATTATATTTAAAGATGCTATATCTGTACAAACAAATAAGGGGCTTTATAAATTCCTTTGTCCCTTAATTGTAGTAATGGTGCTGATGATAATAACATTTCTCCCCAAAAGCTTATGAATAAACAATAAGAAAAGTGCCTTTTACTGTTTGCTAAATGGTAACTCATGTAACCACTGATCACCACTTTTCACATTATCAGAATTCCATCTTCTGTACCCATATTGTACCATTTGTCAAGGCTTAGTTTGTTTTTTTTTAAAAAAAGTTGTTTTTTTCTTTAAAAAGAAAGTCAATCAAATTAACCAACCATGTTCTGGAAACGTAAATAGAAATGAAGCGGAATAAGTATTGATTAAAACAAAAAGCACTTTAAAAAAACCAGCATTCCTTCTTACCAACTCCAGACGTTATTGATTCTGCATCAATGTCGTTTGCTTTCTTTCTTGCCACTTCAGCTAGTGCCAATTCACCCTTATCAAGAGCAAGGTAATGGATGTCCTTTGGAAAGAAAAGCAAAATAGAAGATTAATGCAAGATGAATCTTGGTTTAGTTACAAAAGAGATTTTGAAAGAAACTTGTTCAGATTGCAAAACGGGATAGACAAAACTTCTTTTTATACTTTAATAGTCTCACCTTTTTTCCTAATGAAATAAATTTTTGTGAATTGGAGACCATAACTAAAAGTGATTATTTAGGTAAATTATGTGAAGCTGTCATTATAGAATAACATAAGTATTCAATAAAACATTTGTCATATTGATTTTGTTAGAAAATAAAATCCTTAATAGCTTCTTAATAAAATCTTAGTACGTGCATAAGAGTCTTCAGTGAATCATGCTAAGCACTATCCAATGAATACTACACAGACTTGTCTCTAATATTTGCCTGCTTCATGTCTCTGAAATGGTTAATATTGTTTACTATTTTGAACACATTCTATAAATAAATAACTATTACCTACTAAGCCAAGATCTTCCAGACTAAAACAAACTATGAGGGAAGGCTTCGTGAACTACTTGTGAATATTAACCAATGAAAATCCTGTGAATTGCAGAAAACAGAAACAAGAACCATACTTCACACCACGCACAGAAGATGAACTCAAGGTGGATCAGTTGCATGGCAGATATTTGCACAGCATCATGGAGGAAACTATGACCCTTGGACTGAATCTTTAAGGGCAGTTAAGATTTATGCTTGTGTTGTTGTGTCCCACTGTGTCGGGGCCGACCCATAGCTGACTCCCCAGTGCGTTTTCAGAGACAGTTAATCATAGGGGAAGAGACTATTTTTCTCTTGCGGAGCAGCTGGTGGATTAGAACCCTGTGCCTTTGGGAATGCAGTGTTGCTTCTAACCTCTAGGTCACCAGAGCTCCCTAAGAGTTATACAACAACAAGAGTTATACTAGACGGGCCAATAGAGAAAAGATAGATGTCAGATAGAGCCTGACATCTAGTGCTTGCTTTCAGAGTATTTTGAGAAAAACAGTGCTGTCAGGGAGTGGCAGGTCTTTTAATATGGAAGAATGCTGAGTACGTGAAAGAGGGCAGTGGAAAACGCTGGAGAGGTGGGGCTAGCTATCAAACGGAAGTCTTTATGGTACACAGAGTGAAGGCTACAATGGAAATGTGTATGACAATACAAATGGCAAACGAACATGAATACTTATAATGAGAGGGCTCTCGTGGTTTAATGGGTAGGGAGTTGTGCTCTAACTCAACGTTGGCATCTCTAGTGGTTCAAAGCCACCAGCAGCTCCATGAAGACTGGCACTTGGCTCCTTTGAACTTTACAGTTTCTGAAAAACCTCTGGAGGGTCAGGTAAGTGTCAATTCCAACTTGACAGCAGTGAGTTTGTTGACTTGTAAATTAAGGAATGTAAATGCTTTATACCCATGGAATATTTTCTCTCACTGATACTCTAAGAAATTTTAACTGAAATAATGAAACTTCAAGAGAGCTATGTTGGCCTAGTGGACAGAAAGTTATGCTTCCAAGCCGAAGGTGGGTGCCTTTAATCTGCGGCCCTCTGGCCAGGTTCAAATTGTTTTCCTGTCAAACATTCTTCTAGGTGGTGTAGCACTGGTCTGTGCATTGCTGTACAGAGGTAACTCGTGGTTGCTGTGATGCTGAAGCCTGTGACAGTGATGTGCCAAATGTGGTAATCGTCACCCATGGTGGACAGTGTTGGCTGGAGCTTCCCGACTAAATCAAGCCTGGAGGCAGGAGCGACATCCACTTCCAAAATGGCTTGCCTCCGGAAACCCTATGAACAATCAGGCCTTTCATTCATAGGGTCACTCACTATGAGTCGCCTACGACTCGAAGGTACCAAACAACAACAACAACAACAACAAATATGGTGAAGTTTTTAAGAATTGGTTGTGACACTTGGTGGTTGTGACTTTTGTGACATAGGAACTTATATTGACTTTCTGGAGCTTCATTATGCAGATGACACAATCTTGCTTCCAGAAAATGAAGACTTGAAGCATTTACACAGAGGATAAAATACTACAGCCTTTACTATGAGTTATATCTCAATATCAAGAAAATAAAAATCCAACACTAGACCAACAGGTGACGTGACAAGTGAAGAAAAGTCTGAAGCTGTCAATAACTTAATTTTATTTGGATTGACAGTCATCACCCATGGTAACAGCAGGTAAGATCTCAAAAGATGTGTTGGATTATGAAAATCTGCTGTCAAGAACCTCCCCAAGGAGCTTGAGAGCTAAGATGCCAGTCAGTCTGAACACTAACATATGCCTGATCCAAACCATATTTTCAGTTATTTCCTATTTATCTGAAAGTTGCCCAATGAATAAGGAAGACTGAAGAATCACTGATGCCTTTGCACTGTGGTACAAGGGAAGAGGACTCAATATCTCATGAACTTTCAAAAGAACAAAAAAGGTTCCTCTGTCTCAGAAGAAGTGCAACCAGATTGTTCCTTATAGACAACGATGGTGAAATTTTATCTCACATCTTTTGTACATGTTACAAAGAGGGACCTGCCCTTGGAAAAATAAATCATGCTGGGAAAGTTGGAGTGTCAGAGAAAGAAGATGAAGGTAGACTGACATCATGACTCTAATAACAAGCTGGAGAATGACAGCGATTGTGAGGATGGCACAGGATAGAGCAAGGTGAGACCTACTATTCACAGAGTCTGTGAGTTGTAATGGAGTGAGGGGCACCCAGAAACAACAACGATGATGATGTAATTAGTTAAAACTACAGAGTGCGACTGTGCTGTTAGTTTAAAAGTTGCCTTTTCCAACCATTACATTAGCCCTTGCTGATCTTAAGATACCCTAACTGCAGAACATGGTCTTTCAAATCATCAACAGGTGTGGGACTAGGAAAAGAAAGACGGGGAGAGAGACACACACAGACACACACATTGATAGATTCCCACACTGAGCAGCTAGATTTGAGGGAGACTTAAGCAAAACCTTGGTGATGGGGGTGGAGAGACTGTGACATTGCTGTGGAGAAACCATGGCAAGATGTAACCAGAGGAGCCCTGAAATCAAGGCCATAATTAAGGGGTTTGCTATTCTTGCCAGATGATGGAAGAAAAGCTGACTGTGGAGAGAGAACTGGAGCCTGGACTAATTAAGGAATTCGGCCTTGGGACTTCTAGGCTAAAACCTGGACTTGCACTGGGTGATGGTCTTTGCTTTCCCCACTCTCCAACTTACCTCCCTAATTAACCCCACTCTCAATACCACAACTGTGAGTAAACAATTAATGTCAAGCCCAGTGATTGGTGGAAAGAGAGATGGGAGCAGGAAGGTGGAATGTCTGACCAGGCAGCTATTTGCTGCGCTGAGTGCTATTGATGGGGACAGTCCCCTTTATAAAGGTGGTAGAAGTCAGACTCGGCCACCCTCATGCTCCATCTGCTCCTTAGAGAACAGTTTAGTAAAATATGACCCAAGGCCAGAAGTAGCCTGTTAACAGCCACCAAGACGGTTTTACATTTTTAAATGACTAGAAGAACTGTATATACCCACTGTCACGGAATAATGGTGGTATTAGCTTTCCTGAAGACTTAAAAATATTTCTTTAGGAATTAATCCACAATGTGACAAAGCAGAACAAAGCTTTCATGTGAAGTTTATACTGTGAAAAAGTAATTTCAATACAAACTAACACTGTTTGAATTATAAGGAATGTCAGGTTGCACTAAGAACTTCCTATGTGGTCAAAATTAAAACAGAATTGATATCTCCAAGTGGGACCTACACAAATTCTTAATGATTTCTGTGACTCCAGTGGTGTTATTTAGCCTTTGAGCCAGTGAAAAGAAAAGTTTGTATTTCAAAACTGATTTAACTGTATAAAAATTTAATGGATTAATTAATAATTAAATAATCTGCTAAAAGCAACTATCAAGGGGAAAGTCCACTGAATTGTAAGAATGCTTTGTAGACGATAGAGAGACATAATTAAAACTACAGACTCAGGCATATCTATAGTTGGCAGTATCTGTGTATATTAAATACTTCTTGTACATAACGCAAATGTGCAGAAAAATCCCATTAGTGTTGAATGACAGATGTGCAAAAGTTGGAAAGAGATAAAGGAAGAGAAAAGATGAATTGATGCTTCTGAACTGTAGATTTGGTGAAGAATATTGAAAGTAATTTGGACAGAAGAAAGAGGAAAGACTTCAGCATATTTATGTAAGAAAAATGATCAAGAAAATGGTATAGGACATGATAAGAGGGCCCCCCCAAAAAAGAAGGCTAGTATCAATGAAACAGATTAACATAATGGCTCAAACATAAAGAGTCATGCAGATGGTGAAGAACTAGGATACACTTGTTTCTGTTATGCATTAAGGCGACCAAGTGTTGAGCCTTAATTCAACAACTAACAGCAGCAGTGTATGAGAAATCACACTTGCAAAGAGAAATACCTATATATGAATCAGAAGAGCATTTTTATGATAGACTATAATGGAGGTCAACATTATGACAGATGGAGAAAGGACTGAAACTGTCAATGATTTAATCTTGCTTGGATCAACAATCATCTTCTTGGTACCAGCAGTCAGGAAATCAAGAGATGTATTGCACTGGGCAAGTATGCTGTCAGGGACCTCTCTAGAGCAATGATGTAAGTGTGAAGACTAAGGTGCACCTGTTTCAGGCATAGTCTTCTCAATCACCTGCTCTGCATCAGAGAGCTGGACAATGAATAAGGATGATGGAAGAAGAATTGGTGTCTTTGAGTCACAGTATTGAAGAAGAGTGCTGAATATCTCGTGGCCTGTCAAAAGAACAAATAAATATCTCTCGCAAAAAGGTGCGGCCAGAGTGCTCCTTGGAAGCAAATATGGAGAGGCTGCATCTTTCCTACTTTGGACATGAGCAAGGCAAGGCTATTCCTTGGAGAGGGACATCACGCTGCAAAAGATGGAGGCCAGTGAAGGAGAGCAAGACCCCAATGAGATGGACTGACTGATGCTGTGACTTCAGCAAT